AGGAGAACTGTTGGGATGGAAATGAATCAGTGTGGCAGAATCATGCAGACCAGAGGAGAGACAGATCTCACAGCTATCCGAGCTGCATTGCCTCTGAAGATGAAATGGGAAAAACCACAAACAGGAGCATCAGTGCTCTTCAAAGCTCAGAATATCAACAAAACATCCTTCTGAGGAAAAGTCCAGTGAAAGGTCCAACATGTCACGCCAAGATAAATCTGTGTCACTGTTTGGAGGATGGAGAAAGTTTCAGATGGAGTCCAGAAGATACAAGATTTCACACAGGGGAGAAGAATAAATGCTTTAGCTCTGACCTTGACAATGCATTCTGAAGAGAAAATCTGTAAGTGTGGCATGAGCTTCAAGAGAAGTTCAGAACTTGAAAGACATCAAAGAATATACACTGGGTAGAAAGAATACAAATGTCCTGAATGTGGACAGGCGTTCACGCGCAATTCACATCTTCAAGTACATCAGCGAATTCATACAGGAGAGAAGCCCCATCAGTGCAATGAATGTGGGAAAAAGTTCAGGCACAAGGCAAGCCTTGTAGTACATGAGCGAATTCATACAGGAGAAAAACCTTATACATGCAAAGAATGTGGATGGAGTTTCAGTCAAATTGGAAATCTTATAAAACATCAACGAATTCACTCAGGAGAAAAGCCCTATATATGCAAAGAATGTGGGAAATGTTTCCGTTGTTCCTCAATTCTTAAAATCCATCAACGCTGCCATTCAGGGGAGAAACCTTTTCGTTGTGAACAATGTGGGAGAAGCTTCACAACTAGTTCATCACTTACAAGGCATCAAAAAATTCATGCTGGGGAGAAATCAGATAAATGTTAATAATATGGGGAAAACTTCTGTTGAAGTAAAGATCTTTTAGAACACAAATAATTGGCTCTGAGGAGAATCCCTATCCGTGCAAAGAATGTGGAGAAATCTTCTGTTGTAATGCTCAGTACATCAAACATCAACAGATGCACAGAGAGGGGAAACTTTGAAACATGCAGGAAACAAACTTCTTAAATTCCATCCATATGTCCAGTCAGGGAAGAAAACATACGGAGGGTCATACTACAGGGAGAGCTCTGGTGTTGAATGAAGCTGTTGTGAACCCATGAATGTACCTCAGAAAGAAACCTTATGGTGGCTTCGAAGGGCATAATCCCCTCAACTCCATTGAATTCGTTTTCTCCGATGGTGCCACAAAACTCACATTCCTAATGGGTTTTTACACAATAAGCATGATACTCTGGATGACCTTTTGAAGGTGGGAGCGCCGTTAAAGTAGACATGCTATGTGCAACTTCCGTCCTTGTGTTCTGTGATGATTTGATTATTTTAATCTTGGATTGTTTTAATTTTACTGGGATGGTTTTAACATGATTCTAACTCATTACTGTATGAAAGTTGCCTTGGAACTGAAATAAATGTTCAGACTGGAATGAGGACTCTTCAGATTATCAGCCTGAATTCTGCAAATAGGGATCCTGAGTGGATGAATGGTAATAATCTTGAGCCTATTTACTGGAGAGCAAAGTTTGTGTAAGTTACAGCAACCCTAAAATGGTTTTCAAGTATATGAGATATTTAAGGAGTGGTATCACGATTATCAAAATGAACTCTTGAAGAAGAAATCAAGCAAGGCCATAGCGATGACACTCAATCAAGTACTGTACATGAGAGTATTAGAGAACTCTAGGTAGTTTGAGTCTGTGGTAGTCCACCAAAGCTGACATTTGCCCCTCTTGGCTAATTAGAATATCTGCCAGGGGGGTTCGCACATGGGTCCAGGAGGCCATGAAGTGAGTGGTCCGTACCACCTTGAGAGAGGTGGTAATTCGGCCACTCCTAAAAAAGCCTAACCTGGACCCAAGGCTAGTGGTTAACTACTGATCAGTGGTGAACCTTCCTTATTTGGGCAAGGTGTTGGAGAGGGTTGTGGCTGGGCAACTTCCAGTGCTACTGGATGAAATGGATTTTCTGTATTCATTTCAATTGTGTTTCAGGCTGAGTTTTGGTATGGAGACTGCCTTGGCCGCCCTGTACAGTGACGTTTGCCGGGAGAAAGACAGGGGGAGTGTGACCCTGTTCATACCCCTGGTCCTCTCAGCAGCTTTCGACACCACCGACC